GCATTGTACAAATACATGTGTTTTTTGCACTAAGCACCACTATACTGTTGTTGGGTATAAGCCAGCAGTATGTTTGTTGGGTTAATTTAGCAGTCTGTGGGGTGTCAGTGGCTTAGTGGTAGAGCAGGTGCCCCATGTACAAGGCTGTTGCCGCAGCAGCCCGGGTTTGAATCCAGCCTGTGGCCCTTTGCTGCATGTCATCCCCCCTCTCTCTCCCCCCTTCAAGCTTACCTGTCCTGTCCATTAAAGGCAAAAATGGCCAAAAAAATATCTTTAAAAAAATTTTTTGTAATGATTTGGTACTGCGAATGATAACGCAAATGCTGAATTTGTGGTCATCATTTCCCAAAAAGTGCACAACGGCTGTGTTTGGTTTGAGACAACACTACCCTGTCGAAATTCACGCACTATGCCAATAAGTACATAGTGCACATAGTATACTACATGGAAGTGTCCTAATGGAAGTATGTGATTTGAGACACAGCAAAAGCATGTTAGCATGCTAACATTTGCTAGAGGCTAGGCTAAAAGCTTAATGATCAGTAGTAAAAGAAGTACTCAGATCTGTCATGTAAAAGTAAATACCAAAGTTTTAAAATACTCCAGTACAGGTGAAGTCCTGAATTCAAAATTTTACTTATGTAAAAGTATAGAAGTACTATTAACAAAATGTACTTTAATTATTAAAAGTAAAAGTACCTGCTATGCACAATGGCTCCTTTCAAAGTGTCATGTTTTCATAGAATAATATATTATGTAGTTTGTCAATGTAGAGCCAGTTTTAGATATTTTGTATACTACTGGGTGGATTAGTAGTAAAGTACTGCATAAATCACTTAAACTGTCAAATGAATGTAACTTAGTATAAAGTACAATATATACCTCTTAGATGTCGAGATGTAAGAGTATATCGGTGTTGGTACTTTTACGAAAGTAAAAAGTCTGAGTACGTCTCACCACTGCACAATACACATGTAATTTTGGTCTGCAAACTGCAGATGGCCTTCTAGAAAACTAGTAAAATGTCAGTAAAATGGCCTGAGTAACCTGTTAAGAAGCCGCAGACTGAACACAACACACTGCAGGCTGCAGGCAGTGTCTGACAGTGTGAACTTCCTGCTATTTTAGTGTCTTTTCATACACTTTCTGTCTTCCGGTTGTTATCTGTCCTCTGTGTGTCTGAATGTGAAGTGCTGACCGACTTATGTCACCCAATTTACTGCCGGTCACTTCAAAGTGGCGTCCAGGTGTGAGAACCGTGTCGGCTGACCGGGGCGGATTTATAGTCCGCAGAGTTGTTCCCAGGCCTGTCAGCCTTTAATCCTGCATTCAGCTGGAAATGATGCCGTTTTCTTCTCTGAGAGGATTTAACGGGTGCAACAGTGATTTCAGTAAATCAACTGCAAGATGAAGGCAAAGCAGGAGTGGATTAACGTGTGTGTGTGTGTGTGTGTGTGTGTGTGTGTGTGTGAGTGTGAGAGTGTGTGTGAGCCACAGTGGTACAGTGTTTGGGGTAGGTTGTAACATTTTCCACATGTTGTTACAGTTAACCCAGACTCTTGTAGCCATGACCTGTCTTACCTTTAAGCTAACAGCTAAAACACTAACAAAAATGAATGAAGTAAAAAATAAAGTCAACTTTAAACTTGGCTGTGTCTGCCAGGTAAATTTGTGAATCCTGGGATAGCGAAAGAATGACCTGCCCTCCTCTCCCTGTGACTGGCTAGTGCTCATTGCTCTCATTGGTTGGATTGTTGAAGTTTAGGCAAGAGGTTTAGGCATTGGTTAGGGTTAGGGTAAGAATCAGGCAGAGTGAGGCGGGCCATTTGTTTGCTTTCTTAAGATTCGCAAATTCTTGTCTGCCACAGGGTGCTACTTCCTCACACAAGGAATGAGGACTAAAATCAGGTAATTTGTAGCGTTTGTTTGACTGGAGAAACTTTGAGTGTTCAGACTATTCTGTGTTAAAACCCGTGTCCCCTAGTTAATTCAGCTGACACTGATACAAATGGCTTGTGCCGAGCAAACACACACCAGCGTTTGTATGGTAAACCACTTGAGTTTGCAAACAGAGAGACAGAATTTGAGCCTTAAGGCTAATCAAAGTCTTGATTGATGACATCAAAAATCATCAGGGACCAGATCCATCATCTATAATAGAACTTTTATACTTCCTGTTCTCTAGAATAACAATGAACATTACTCTGTCATTGCACATAAACCTGTACACTGGTGTTCCCCAACTTAACATCTTTTTCCCTTGAACCTACATGTATGTATCAGTATGTGCCGTATTGATAAACCGTGCAAAAAAAAAGTGTAACACTTAATTTGGAAAGTCTGCCTACAGATAGTTTGCAGAGCATCTGTAACATTTCAGCAGCTTAGTAGTTGAAATTCAACAGTTTTGCTTTATCATATTTGACAAATTATGAATATACTTACATATTCTCATAATAACAGCAGGAAAAGAAGGAAAGTAAAGGTGGCGAAAGTCTGACTAGGGCGGGTGAAACGGTCGTGGATGGGTCCAACAAAGTCCCACTTTCATCCAGGAGAGTGATGTTCACACCCTGTAAGATTATTAAGTCAAACCCTGCTCTTTTTTTTCCTAAACCCAACCATGTGCGTTAGTTGTTGGAGGAAGAAAACTTCAGTTTGTGTTCTTGTACTGAGTCGTGCGTTTATTTTGAAAGACACAGTATGTAAACGTTAAATTTCCTGTGAAAACGGAGGTGTATTTTGAAAGAGGACAAGACATGTAAAAGGCAGAACCTGACAAGGCGTCTGGCTTTTGTCCAGATTGAGACTTAAAAGCAAAACAAATGATTTAAAATACAACCAGGTTAAATCAGCATATAAACCAAAATGTAAAGTTTATTCAGAAAACATAAAAACATCATAAGAGCTGCATTTTTCATGACAGCAGTGACATAGTTCATTTTTATTGTAAAAAAAAAAGAAGGTAAATCCAGTGACAGTA